ATATGTTATTAAAATATATGATCATGTATTTTAAAATATACGTCACGTTCTTTGATATATACGGCCATATATTACTTTTCGTATGGGCTATTTCTACAATTTCTCTTCTTAAAATGTGATTTTAACCCTAACCTCAAACCTAACCTTAACCACACTGCTAACCTTATGTCTGACTCTAACCTAAAACTAATACCAAAAAGCAAATTTTTGTTTTCATTAATTTTTACAATATAGACCATTTTGACTTTGTGGCTGTGGTAAATAGTGACAACCCCAGCTCAATGTGTCCCTTGAGTCCAATGTGCACTTCCTGGTCCTAGGCTATATTGAAGATGGGCGTGTTTGAGCGGATCACTTTATCAAGTTGATGACCGTCGTTGGTCACCACCTTAAAAAGTGTGTTGCATTATGGGGATAAAACATTTCCGACTTGCATCTAAGGTCATAAAGTTTTGGTCATGTTCCCCTGCTCAGACGTTGCTGACGCCTGCCAGATCTTACAACGCCTGAATAGGTATTTCACGTATCAGCTAACCACATCCTATTTTATAGCAATCTGGTGCCCGACGTAACCATTGGTTGATGCATGCAACGTCTGAGCAGGGGAATGCTACCTTTGAATCAGTCGACTGCAAGATTCTGCAGTTGCTCTTGGGCTTGTTTAAATTATAAGACTGAAGCAACAGACTGCAGGCGAAAGTCTTGGATTGACATCGACGGAGGTGCATCTGCGACAGACAAAAGCCGGATAATGATGTGGTTTTCCAACAGCAAGGCTCAGTGCAACATGGCAGTGTTGCCATTGTTTATACAAGTTGTTCTTTATAATGTCGAAATAAACGTCTCCAACCCCCATATCAGACACTCACAAACTGAAAATATATGTGTGTACATTGTACTATCAATTGGTGCGAGAGAGCCTCAAATATCACATGAATTTGTACATATCCACTGTATACACGAATGCAAAAAGTTGGTTTCTGTTTCAGTCACGTCTTTGGTCACGCTCGCATGGGTCAAACAAAACACCCTAATGATTGGTTGACAATAGTGCCTCCCACAATGCAGGCGATGGCTGCAAGTTGTACCTGGTAAGGAGCAACTGCAGAAAATTGCAGTCGACTGCAGTCGAAACTTCATGACCTTTGATCACATGGTTGTTGTAAAGTTCATGCAGTCGACATGTAGGCACAAATCAGACATAATGCATCACACTTTGAAAGGCAGTGACCAACAATGGTCAGCGACTTGACAAAAGTGATCCGCTCGAACGAGCCCCTTCACTAACTTCATCCTGCAGCCATAGGGCGCATTTCCTCTGACCAAGCGTTGCTGACAATGCCTGGATAGGTATTTTACGTATCAGCTAACCACATGATATGTTATAGCAATCTGGTGCCAGACGGCACAGTCCATGACATGGCACGCAACCAATGGTTGATGCATGCAACGTCTGAGCAGGGGAACGCAACCAATGGTTGATGCATGCAACGTCTAGGCAGGGGAACGCAACCAATGGTTGATGCATGCAACGTCTGAGCAGGGGAACGCGACCATTGCCTGCATTGTGCTACGCTCTATTGTCAACCAATCATTAGGGTGTTTTTGTTTGTTTGACCCGCGTCAACGTGACCAACAATATGACTGAAACAGGAATCAACTTTGCCAAGATTCATGTTATATTTGACACTCTTTCTTACTAATTGATTGTACAATGTACAAATATATGATTACATTTTGTGAGTGTGTGATATGGGGGTTGGAGGCATGTTTATTTCGACATTTTAAAGAAAAACTTTTATAAACAATGGCAACACTGCCATGCTGATCTGAGCCTTGCTGTTGGAAAACCACATTAGTGTCCAACTTTCGACTGTCGCAGATGCAGTTCCCCCGACTTCACTCCTCGACTTATGTCTACAGTCTATGAATGATGGCTATGAATGTCATTCTATTGATTATGAGTGAAATACTGTGATACATTTTAGAGAGATAATGTCACCTCTCTGGAGAACTGTGTGGAATGACCAAATCCAGTTAGGAGAGTTGCCAACTTAAGAACAGTTGCAAATGGAAAACGTTTTGCAATGAAATCTAGAGGTTTTATTGGACAAATTCAGTTTGGTCCCTCCACGTTTCATTCCGTTTGCTTCCGTTGGTTCTGTTCCTAGTGAATAAACCCCTGTTTTAGACAGACAGACAAGTAAAAAGAGACAGCAGGCCTAGAGAGAAACAGAGACAGTAGGCCTAGAGAGAAACAGAGACAGTAGGCCTAGAGAGAAACAGAGACAGTAGGCCTAGAGAGAAACAGAGACAGCAGGCCTAGAGATAAACAGAGACAGCAGGCCTAGAGAGAAACAGAGACAGTAGGCCTAGAGAGAAACAGAGACAGTAGGCCTAGAGAGAAACAGAGACAGTAGGCCTAGAGAGAAACAGAGACAGCAGGCCTAGAGAGAAACAGAGACAGTAGGCCTAGAGAGAAACAGAGACAGTAGGCCTAGAGAGAAACAGAGAGCTAGAGACACAGATACTGAGCTGTTCCCATGCAGATTCCCATGCAGAGTTAAACCAATGAAAGCTCCCTCTCCCCTATTGTAATCTCTCATCCATTCAGGGAGGTATAATTAGAGAAGATCTGCTCTCATCTCTTTCTCTCTGATGGGGCCTTTAATTCTTGCTATTTGACTCATTCAAATGAGAGCTGGTGAAAAGGGAACGACAGTTGGAAATGTAAATGAATGCTTGAAAGCACTGCGAAACAATCCACTGCGTATGAGCCACGCTGCAAAAAGCCTTGAAAATAACACCTTGTGCAGGTTCTGTTTAAATTACTGAGTGGAATGAGTGCCCCTTGAATGACTGACCTATTCTTAGAACCCAATTTAGATCCTGTGGGATAAGATTGAAAGGTACCTCAACGAAAACGAAGAGCACTTACTATAGATTGTTTATTAAGCACACTGGAAACATTAAGGATAGTGCATCTCATAAAGCATCTACTGCTGATCTAAGATATGAGTATAGGGGCGGGGGGGACCTGATCCCAGATCAGCACTCCTACTCGGAGACGCTTTATAAATACAGGCCCTGGTCATTTGGCAGTGAGTCTTTGTTTGCTCAGCTCGTTGTCACACAACATGTTGAGAGAACAGGATGTAGTATCACTGAAAGGAGTGAGAAGAGTTGGAGCTTTTTAATAGACAAGTCAACGTGTCATACAAACATCAATCATATCCACATGTTCAATCTAATGCTGATTCTGATTTTATAGCTTAATTAAAAGTAATAATCTTCCATTTATCACAATAAATGTGTTGAAGAACAAAGAGCATGCAAAATGACATCCTGGTAAAAGTACATAATAATTACAAAATATACTGTAAACAACTCACACTAGTATCATCCAGCTCATCACTACTGATATGGAACCCAGCTACTGCACATGTACTGAATAACACAATATGAATATACCCACAAGTGAATCAATAAAGGTATCAGCATAGTGACAGTTCAGCAATACAATATAAAGAGGGAGATGTACCAAGAAAAACATAGCTTTACTACTGCTGACAATAGGTAAGATAAGGTGATGTTAGAATGAAATCAAACCCACATTGTTGAGAAACACACACACACACACATACATGCACACACATGCATGCACGCATGCACGCAAACATACACACCCACCCACACACACACCCACCCAACCACCCAACCACCCACCCACACACACACTCAAGACACACACACACACCTCCTGACTCTGATCTGCTACATGCTGGTCTTCAAGGTGACCAATTCAACTAGTTCTACTCATTTCACTAAAGCGCTCCACCTCAGGGTTTGATCTCAGTCAATCTCAGTCAATCCAGACAGAACCCAGAGAAACACAGTGGCCGCATTTCATTCCAACAAGTTGTCCCCTCCCCTTTGTTCTTGTTCAATCCCCTTCACAGATAGGAGTTGACTGGGTACTAAGTGAACTGTGGTAGGTGTGCTGTGGTAGGTGCGGTGTGGTAGGTGAGCTGTGGTAGGTGCGGTGTGGTAGGTGAGCTGTGGTAGGTGAGCTGAGCTGTGGTAGGTGCGGTGTGGTAGGTGAGCTGTGGTAGGTGCGGTGTGGTAGGTGAGCTGTGGTAGGTGTGGTGTGGTAGGAGTGCTGTGGTAGGTGAGCTGTGGTAGGTGCGGTGTGGTAGGTGAGCTGTGGTAGGGGTGCTGTGGTGTGGTGTGTGGTAGGTGTGCTGTGGTGTGCGCGGTGTGGTAGGGTGTGCTGTGATAGGTGCAGTGTGGTAGGGGTGCTGTGGTGTGGTGTGGTGTGGTAGGTGTGCTGTGATAGGTGCGGTGTGGTAGGGGTGCTGTGATAGGTGCGGTGTGGTAGGGGTGCTGTGGTGTGGTGTGGTGTGGTAGGTGTGCTGTGGTGTGGTGTGGTAGGTGTGCTGTGGTGTGGTGTGGTAGGTGTGGTGTGGTAGGTGTGCTGTGATAGGTGCGGTGTGGTAGGTGAGCTGTGGTAGGGGTGCTGTGGTGTGGTGTGGTGTGGTAGGTGTGCTGTGGTGAGTGCGGTGTGGTAGGTGTGCTGTGATAGGTGCGGTGTGGTAGGGGTGCTGTGGTGTAATATAATAATAATAATAATATGCCATTTAGCAGACGCTTTTATCCAAAGCGACTTACAGTCATGTGTGCATACATTTTTACGTATGGGTGGTCCCGGGGATCGAACCCACTACCCTGGCGTTACAAGCGCCATGCTCTACCAATTGAGCTACAGAGGACCACGGTGTGCTGTGGTAGGTGTGCTGTGGTGTGGTGTGGTGTGGTTGGTGAACTGTGGTAGGTGAGCTGTGGTTGGTGAACTGTGGTAGGTGAGCTGTGGTAGGTCTGCTGTGACGCAATAGCTCTACATAGTGCCCGCCATAATTTATTCATTATCAGATCCGGCAAATGGAGTAAACGAGTGAAGGGTGATAAGGGAGATAGCCAGGGGAGGGAGCATCTTTGTGTCCCTAGAAGCCTGGCAGCAGCTCGCTGAGCAGCACCTCCCTCTCCCCCAGCAGCACGTCTCTCTTCAGACTGGTGCCCTTGTTCACCACCTTCATCTTCATGGCCAGGCTCTTGACCTGGGTGGCGGGCACCGCGTCAAAGAAGAAGTCCTCGTTGAACACGGGGTTCCTGCTGTTCTTGATGATAGTGCTCCTCTGCTTCTGCTGCTTGCCTGGGTTCAGGTACAGAGACACGCAGCAGTTGATGCTCTTCACGTCAGTCTGTTTGTCATAGAGGTCCTCGGCGGTGAGCACTCGAACCCTCAGCCGTGCCGTCTCGGCGTTGTAGTGTGTGCTGATCCTCAGCGTGCCGCCCTTGTGGAGGTTGACCGAGTGCTCGCGCTGGAGGTCTGAGCTTGCCCCCCCGGAGCCGGTCCCCTTGCGTCCGCGGAACGCGGGGGAGGGAGGGCAGCGCAGGCGGCGGCGCGTCATGTTGGGGCTGTTGTCGGCTGAGCTGCACTCGTCTGTGGACAGGGAGCTGTGGCGTGCCAGAGTACGCTTGGCACGAGACACCTGAGGGGAGATCAAATCAGGGATGGGAATGGATGATTATAAGATAGAAGGTATCATGAAATTCTGAGCTAAACGTATTTTGAAAACACTTTGTAAATAAAGTGATCATCCTTATGGTTACCATCCTTAGTGTTTACCTTGGCCTGCGTCTCCTGGGTGATGGATCGGAGGAGGGAGGCAGAGCGGGTGAGGAGAGGCGAGGTAAAGGGGGAGGACTCGGCTGAGGAGCATGTGTCGCTCTCACCCCCGCTGAAATAGCGGTATGGGTTTGGGTCGGAGGGGGTCAGGTGGTTCCCCGCCTGGGTGCGTCTCTGGGAGCCCGGGGAGGTGTGGGGGCTGTTGGGGTCGTTGTGGAACAGGGACTCCTTGCGGCGGGTGTGGGGGCTCTCCACCAGTGTGGAGAAGCCGTACGAGGTCTGGGCCTTAGGGATATAAGGCAGGGACATGGCTGTCTGGGACTGGGGGTCTGCATTGGTGTTAGGGTCTCCCTCATCCCCTACCCCGCTCCCCGGTTCGTCAGCGCTCTCTATCTGGATGATGTGGCGGTTAGCGGCCCTCATTAGGCTGCGGGTGTCCCCGGTCAGGCGGGAGAGCAGGCGTGGGCTGCGGGGGTTCCGGGTGCAGTTGCCCTGGGTTTGGCTGCAGATGATGTGCTCCGAGGCGGAGGGGCACAGAGTAGAGCGGGGCTGGGTCTCCGGGGTTAGGCACTCTGCCTCTGAAGGGCAGCAGATGAGTTTGGGGGGGATGAGGAAGTCAGGGATCTTATCAGGGGTGATGATGTTGGTATAGATGGAGACAGGGCCGGTCTGGTTCTGCTGCTTGTCCCCTGCCGACGCAGAGTGACCACGGAACTTCTCTAGGAGCCACATGCTTCCCTCCTGGGCCTGAAGCTAGCTAGCTGCAGACACAGATGGAGAGGAAGTGATGATGTCATACAGTCACAGGTAGGTAGGAAGTGACATCACCTTGAGTCAACATGTAAATCAAACCGTGGCATACAGACACAGACCGATAAAAGGAGGAGTCTCAATACTGTATGTTTATGTCCTCTCCTTGCTTCAACTCCTAAATTGCACTGATGTTAGGTGAAAGCAACATAGCAAGTCAACTTAATTTGATATCACCTGCCACCTGCCTCTAAAAACAGTGGATCAAGGAAATCATACAAGTAGAGGAAGCCATGTTAGACTATTGAGATGCACCCAGTGCCTGGTGAAATGTCAGAGACACCACAGGAGAGCTTCCATAGCAACTCCAAACCAAAGCATTTCCCTATTATCAGATAATTGAACATCACAGCTGTAGTGGAATTATTCCAAGAAAAATCAGAGTCTGTAAGGCCAAACTGCAAGTCTAAACGTGTTGCTAAGCACCAGCGTGCTCCAGCCTGTAGCCTGTGCCTTTTAAGCTTATATTGAATCTTCATCCCTGCGGTAGTACCCTCAATTCGATCGAATCCCGATTGCAGAAGGCTATTATGCAGTAGTATATGAATATTCATTTTTCTGTAGTCTAATTAAAATGTTTTTGTCTAATAAATCCTGTTGGACTATTGACAGGATTGATTAAATCCGGTCCTTGTGATATAATAAAACAAAGAAAGGTTGTTCTCTATCAGTGCACCTCATTGATGGAGGTCTCTAAAATCCTTGAACATTAAATAAATCAGGGTAAAAAAGTAAATTCAGTTTTAAATGTGTTTGCTTCCCCGGAAGGCACCGACTTTGATAAACGAGAAGACTTCCCGTAAGTGCGCATAACCTATCATATCCAAGAGAGCTGCGTAAAGGTAAAGTCAGTCTAGTCAGCTTTATGATTCCGCCAAACAAAGATACATTTGCATATCCAATAAAAAATACACGGTTATCTATAATTGAGGAGAGAATGTAACCATAAAGATATTTGACATTGTGGGCAGCTGACCAACTTTTACGCACTCAACAGAATACACAGATTTAAGCAGGATAGTTGCTGAAAGGAGAACAACTTGTAAAATACACACAGACAAACTTACGGTCACTAATTAAAAAACGGTTATTGATGAGTCTACAAGCAAAGACTACCCGAGGACCTGTTGCATCACCGGAACTCATGGATCTCACCTTTGCGCTGAAGTGTTACTCTCGCTCTCCTGCTGAACTCCTGATAAAAACATAAAATGTTCCAACTTCCCTCACATGCGTCTGTCCGTGTCCCCTCACCTCACATGGGTTGCCTAGCTAACCTACTTTACGTCAGACAGAGTAACCTAACTGTTGGGCAAACAAACACATAGTTGGGGCTCTGACAATTCAGTTCCACCTCTGGGTTATATATGGACCCCGCGCGCCGCGCTCTCTATGGTGACTGGAAGTCAGTGGGAGGTTCCCATGCTGTCCACGCGCCCTCCTCAAAATAGAATCTAATTTGCTTAAATACATGTTTTGATTTTAACCGCCGGGCAAATCATTGTTTCCTTTCTATTTCGTAAAGCCAATTCATTGTATTTACAAACAATAACATTAACGTTAACGACCTCCCTAGCTGTGACCAAGATTCTCCCTCGTCTCTCCACTACTCAGACGTACTACCTCCATTCTTGTCTCAACTCCCAGATGTTTTGATTTTGTTCAATTTCTTGTATCTTACACTACATGGCCAAAAGTATGTGGACACCCCTTCAAATTAGCGGATTTGAGGTATGCTGACAGGTGTATAAAATCGAGCACACAGCCATGCAATCTCCATAAACAAACATTGGCAGCAGAATGGCCCATACTGAAGAGCTCAGTGACTTTCAACGTGGCACCATCATAGGATGCCACCTTTCGAAAAAGTCAGTTCCTCAAATTTCTGCCCTGCTAGAGCTGCTCCGGTCAACTGTAAGTGCTGTTATTGTCAAGTGGAAGGCGCTCAGCCGCGAAGTGGTAGGCCACACAAGCTCACAGTGCCGAGTGCTGAAGCGCGTAGCTCGTAAAAAATTGTCTGTCCTCGGTTGCAACACTCACTACTGAGTTCCAAACTGCCTCTGGAAGCAACGTCAGCACAAGAACTGTTCATCAGGAGCTTCATGAAATGGGTTTCCATGGCCGAGCAGCCGCACACAAGCCTAAGATTACCATGCGTAATGCCAAGCGTCGGCTGGAGTGCTGTAAAGCTCGCCGCCATTGGACTCTGGAGCAGTGGAAATGCGTTCTCTGGAGTGATGAATCACGCTTCACCATCTGGCATTCCGACGGACAAATCTGGGTTTGGTGGATGCCAGGAGAACGCTACCTGCCCCAGTGCATAGTGCCAACTGTAAAGTTTGGTGGAGGAGGAATAATGGTCTGGGGCTGTTTTTTATGGTTCGAGCTAGGCCCCTTAGTTCTGGCGAAGGAAAATCTTAACGCTACAGCATACAATGACATTCTAGACGATTCTTCCAACTTTGTGGCAACTGCTTGGGGAAGGCCCTTTCCTGTTTCAGCATGACAATACCCCCGTGCACAAAGCAAGGTCCATACAGAAATGGTTTGTCGAGATCGGTGTGGAAGAACTTGACTGGCCTGCACAGAGCCCTGACCTCAACACCATCGAACACCTTTGGGATGAATTGGAAAGCCTACTGTGAGCCAGGCCTAATCGCCCAACATCAGTGCCCAACCTCACTAATGCTCTTGTGGCTGAATGGAAGCAAGTCCACAGAGCAATGTTCCAACATCTAGTGGAAAGCCTTCCCAGAAGAGTGAAGGCTGTTATAGCAGCAAATGGGGTACAAACTCCATATCAATGCCCATGATTTTGGAATAAGATGTTTGATGAGCAGGTGTCCACATACTTTTGGTTATGTAGTGTATCTTGTATGTGTTACTGTAATTCAGCTTCTAGCTTCCATATTACACATGACACAAATACAAATACAACATTGTCCATTGAATCAAGCGGCCTGATTCAGAACTTTAAGTAGGAGACACCTGTGGAATTGATTTGACTTTAAAAATATATTATGTTGCATTTGCAGGTCACAGGTGCAGATCCACTTCTGTGGAAGTTGTGTTACATTTGGCTCCCAGGGCAGATAGACCACAGAAATAGATATACTGCAAAACCTGGAGTTGATGACAGCACAGTGTAATCCTTCATCTACTCCCAGTCAGCAGGGCTCCTGGCAGTCTCTGTCTGTGATAACTGGATAGATCAGTCCCTTAGTGAAGTTAGAGTGTCACTCTAACCCCTGCATTGCATTACCCTGTAGGAGAGAAGGAGAGGGTGGCCCTTTAATAGGAAGAGTTGTATCCTGGAGAGCTGTAAGAGTTTCCCTGGACTCTGAGGAGATAGACTGTAGCTCCGGCGTCCATCGCTGGGTCAATAAGCCAATGGCCAATGAGGGGGCTGTTAGAGAGAAACTGCCTGGCAGTATGGTCCCTGTGGGCTGTGGGGAAATGACGGCACTCTGTTATTTGCGATGGCATGTAGAGGATCAGTGGGAAAGTGTTGATATAGTTCAGCATTAAACTGAAGGCTTTTCTCAAACCAAATTGGTAATAAAATAAAATGATTAAAGACAAAAACAATATTTTTGCATGCAGACATTCATGAGCATACACACACACACACACATGCATACACACATGCATACACACACACACACACACACACGCACACACGCACACGCACACACGCACACATGCACGCACACACGCACACACGCACACGCACACACGCACACGCACACATGCATACACACACACACACACACACATGCATACCGAGTGGCGCAGTGGTCTAAGGCACTGCATCTCAGTGCTTGAGGCGTCACTACAGACCCCCTGGTTCGATTCCAGGCTGTATCACAACCGGCCGTGATTGGGAGTCCCATAGGGCGGCGCACAATTGGCCCAGCGTCGTCCGGGTTTGGCCGGTGTAGGCCGTCATTGTAAATAAGAATTTGTTCTTAACTGACTTGCCTAGTTAAATAAAGGTAAAATTTAAAAATTTTAAAAAATACACACACACACACGCATACACACACACAAATAGACAAACTGAGAGAAAGGGAGAAGAGTGATTGTACACAGAATCACTGGGGAGCTGTCCATGGACCTAATATACAAGAAGAGCTATAGTGTGTTGGGCTCTGGGACTAACCGACTTCTGTCCCTCTCCATGGTCCTGAGATATACATCCTTTCGTTGAGATTCTATGAATATAACTGAATGTCAGTGTTAAAGATCGTTAACTCATCACTTGTAAAGAAATGCTTGTTTTGCATGTATATAAAGCCTAAATCAAGTCCCTCATCAGTTCACTGAAAGTCTATCAGTCACAACAGCGCTGGCCTAAACCAGGTGTAGGGAATTTGGTATTTTAATGTGAAATACTGAACTGGATTGAACTGAGCATAACCCAACTCCAATGTAATCTATACCCCTCTGTCTCTCCTTTCTGACTCACTCTCTTTCACCACCACATGTTCATACTAGGCACATGAGGATCATGGACAGCTCCTGGCTCTGTGCCACATTAGAAATAAAAGTAACAATATGCAACAATAACATGTCTAATGTAAATATCACAGATCTGGAGGCTAGTAAAGATACAGGATGGGGAATGGTTCTAAATCTGCTGGGAAGTCACCATAGCAACCATGGCAAACCTACTCAAGTTGGCCTTTGGCGTTGGAGAATGCTCTGCACACACACTTAGATCTTCAGCGTCAACAGTTATGGTTATAGTAAGGATTTGGAAGGATTAGGGTTAGAATACCTATTTTCAGAACAGTGATGAAAAGGAGAAGTATAAAACAAATAGAAAGAGGCCGAATGGGAAGGGGGAGACAGAAACACATAAATAAAGGGGGAGATAGGAGGGTGAGAGAGAAAAAGGCTGGCTATTCCAGCGGCTTTGA